CCMAAAMMMMAAAAAACCCAAACCCCGKWWCTGAACACAGCCTCACTTCTGGCATGTGACTTACCTTTTTGGATAAAGATGAAGMTGTAATACTGTTCTAGATTATCACAAAGTAATTGATTACTTACTGACCTACATAATTTAATTTCTACTTCTAATAGAAACAGCACAGTACTGTGCCATTACAGAAGGCACTGGTCACCAATGACAGTTAAAATCCCCAAACAGGCATTGTATTCCAGTGATGCCAACCGTGAGTTAAAGATTTTCTTATTATCTTCTTTCAAATCATCTGAGAAATACAAGCTGGAAAAGTCCTRTTAGAGTCACAGTGGCAGCAAAATTCAGCTGGCTTTAGTAGGGAGCTCAATCCATTTACTAATGAGTCTGTGTGATACAGCTGTCCTAAAGACCAGGAATCCAGACTTTATGACYCAGGAAACTCCTTCCAATCTTGTTTCCTCTAACAGTTTCTTTTACCACTTGTCAAGAGGAAACAGATCAGTTGTGCCAGAACAGCAAGTCTTAGAAAAGTCATATTAAATATTTATATTATCTTCATTTACATTATCTTCAGATGCAGGAAGTGGGAAACTTGACCTACTTTTACATATAGATAAAAAGAATCCTTTAAGAAGCTGTATGATTGTTGTGGCTTATGGTTTCAAACCAAGACAATGATGTACTTCACAGATGGCAAAAAAGGCTCAAAACTTTGGGAACCTCCAACAGTTCAGAAAAAGGCTGGGCACAGTCACAGAAGATATGGCTTTAATTTATTGTCTTTCAGCATTTTCACTGTTTATTGCAATGACAACAAATAAATTGCATTTGAGCTTTCTTCAGAGAATTATGCTTTTTACCTTTGCCTCTGATTCCTCCAGCCTTGGAGGCAGATTTGGCAAATTTTCAGCTGTGGAGCTGACTGAAAATGCAAGAAACAAAACCTTTTTCTAATGCCATCCTAAAACTGTCTCCTGATAGCAAAGAACTTGTGTSTTACTGTAGTAGGCACTGCATAATTAGAAATTGTTTTTTATTAAAAACATACTCGACATTCAAACACAATGTGTTTAAGCAATTAAAGCATGAGAAAATGATTTGGAAGAGAAAAAGACATAAAACTGGAGTGGAATCAGTGGCACAGATCAGAACTTTGGTGGAGAAAACAGCGAGAGAAATTRAACAGAAGGAAAGAGGAAATGAGATACAGGGGAGGGCAAGGCACAGCAAAATGAACTTACACAGTAAAAAGTTCTATTCTATCCATAAAAATCACCTCAGAATTCAGATTATCTTGAAGGATTATTTTTAGTGCACACACAATGTGTAAACAGCAGAACCCCAAAGCTTTGTCACAGGCTGTAAACACCCCTAAAACACACAGAATAAAAGGCACCATGGCTGGCTGAATCAAAGGTACAGATCTGTCTCAGTGCTACCAGTATTTATTAGATAGAGGCAGCTATTAAAGTACTCTTGCACTCTTCMTGTAACTGAGATCTTGCAATCTGCYACCATCATTAAAAGTCAAGGGCCAGTACTCAGTAGCCAGTAAAAGGCACCACCCAGGGAAAGACCCTGCAATTGGCAGTCCGTACTGGCTTCACTCTGAATAAATTCTTGCTTCTTTTCCTACTCCCATGCTGCCACTTCTACTGTGATTACACATAACTGTCCTGTCAGTGCTCCCCAGAAAATGAGAGGGAGGGAAGATACCATTTTTCACAGCTTTACTTTAGCAGTCCATCTACCCACCACTTTGGGTAGCAGTAGCTCCTCTACAGACTATTCCCTGCAGCATCTTGCATCTCTTTCCAGTACAAATGTAAACCAGATTCATTCCTTGTCAGTTCATTTACTTGTAATTACAAGCTAGATGGAAAATGCAACAAAAATCTCAAACCCCAATATCTGCCAGTTTAGCCAGACTTGGAGTCACAAGGAAGTCCTGGCTAAAYTAAGGCAATCCAGGATTCTCAATGCCATGCTGTGACCAAATGAAGTCAGTGCTCTTTAAAGGCACTGATGCATACTATACCATAAATTATGGCCTCAGTAAGACAATGTCTTAAGACATGCTCTCAAAATGCTCCTAAAATATGCTAAGCCCTCATAAGATTTGCCCTTAATATCCTTTTCCRAATCATTCTTAATACTACTTCCAAGACAAAGTCAGATCACAGAGTGATAATAATATATAACAGTAGTATATTACACTGTTAACAGAGTTTCAGAATTGACTTAATTCCCCTATCCTAATGGATATAAAACTAGACAAGAATATAAAATTACAAAGAAAAAATGAGCCTCAAAGGGGTGAAGAAATTGCCACTAATCTAATAAAAAGTTGCTATTATATCCAAATCATTTTACAGCAGTGCTTATTACACTGAAATATGGAGTAAAATACACTTTCTAAGATGCACATTATTGATTCACATAGCAATGTTTCTGCTACTTTGGTCTTTTGATGCTTTTGATGTTGATTCCTGGCTATCGTGAATTGGCTTGTAAGAAGTTTAGAAAACTTACGCCAGCTTTCTTTTCAAATAAAAAAAACTTCACATCTTATTTTAAAAATCAAACTTCATGGCTGAGAAATTAATGCATATGGGATGTCTATGATATGGTTCAGAATGGGAGGTGCAAGCAGGGTGCAGGTGACGGGTATTAAGAGCCCAACAGTCAGGTTCCAGTGATACTGTCACTCTCATTAATTAATCTCACATTTTTCTTCTCTGGTAGATTTAGAAAAATCTGTTCTAGTCAGATAGGCACTGTATTTGAAATGATATTAGAGATCTGACTATGTAACACAAACATTGCTCTGCCAGGCCTGTTTAACTGAGACATGGATCTTGCCTTTCCAGAAGAAATTAGAAAGTAAAACTTATTAATCTACAGGTCAAGAGCAAGCACAGCAGCAACTTGCAGAATTTTGTGAAGTCTAGGTAAAGTCCAGCTGTGAAATTGGATGTAAAAATCCAGTGTAACACAAGCTCTCATCTTGATTGGCTTACAGTTTATTCTGAAGATTTTCCTATTCTTTCTGATCTCCATTCCATCAAGATTCCTTTTTTTTTTTTTTTTTTTTTACAGTCTTCTGGTAGACATTCACCAGGAAGAAAACAGCTAGATTAGCTCCCAGTTCTGTGCTCTTTTGCAAAATACTTAAAAGATGAGAACCTCTTACTAGTCTGAAACAGCCCTCTGGATGAAGTGCAAATCTGTGCTTAATCTACCACTCATGTTGCCCCATAAACTGAAATTAACTCCCAGACAAATATCCCAGCAATAATATGCTAGATTTTTTTTGGTTAGTTTGTATCTCTGCCATTGTGTACTTCTACTCCCTGTGGCATATACTTGTTAAAACCAATAGGAATATTAAAGTCCAAACAAGGCCTCAAACACTTGAGTTATAATGTGTATGGTTGAAATAAAATACTTTTGAAATGGTTGTGTTTTGCACAATTCTAACCCTTTAAGAATAGGGTTCTGAGGAATTTGGTAGGCTGTTTGGAAAATATTAAGCAGTATAACAATTCATCCTCTTCTAGAAGTCTGTCAGGTCACAGGCCTAAACAGAAAATGGAATTGTGGATCTACTGCAGTTCATTTACTTTTTTCCTTTTTCGGTTCTTAGTAGGTACCCATTAAAAAATAATTGCAAACCTAAATCATAGTTGCATTACTTGCATTAGTCACAGGTCTTGTCATCATCCTAAGTTTGTGGTATTAGAAACAAAACAGACTCAACTGTACAGTATTTACTTGTTTCTTAGCATTAATTTGCTCATTACAAAGAGCTTACACATAAAGGAGCACATTTAAACTCTATGCCCCTTAGGATTTGCATGCAAAGCAGCTATTCACAATTTWAAAAACCAAAAAATTAAAATTACCTTTTTCTGCAGTTGAAGAAATAGTAACTGGAAAAGAAAAAAAAAATTGTTAAGTGAATTCATAGGGAATTAAATGTTTGGCTAAAAGTGAGATATATGAAGCAGTTGACTTGTTCCAAAGCATACTTTTGCACTAGCAGAGCCTCCCCACCCAACACTGCGGTAAAACAGGAGTCACTATTTGTCCTGCCAGCCCTTGATGCTTGGTGAGTTAGTGGAAGAGCTGAAGAGATGYGGTTCCCTGCACTAATGAAGCAAGCACACTCCACAGACAATAATAAGACAAAATTTATGCATRTCCCCCTTCCTGTATGTACCTAACTCATTTTTCTGAGTCAACAGCTAGGCCAATGGGTGTACCACTGGAAAGCAGAAAACTAAATTGAAAGTTCTTACAGAAATTCCTGTGAAACTGATACAAGTAGCCTAATTCCTTCTCTTAATATCCCTCCCCCACTTCTCTCTTCCTGTCACATATTATTTTTGGCTTTCTTTTCCCCCCTGACCTGAATTCTTCAGGCATAGTTAAAATCTCTCAACTTCCTTATCTCCTATAACCTCATCTCCTTTTATGCCAAGAGCAAATTCCATTGTTCAAGTCCACCTTGTATACTGCCTGACTAGTACATCTTCCTGCCCTCAGGCTTCTCCAAAACCTTCACATTTAGTTTATCAGTTCAGGTACAATTCACAGAGAACTGCTGTACTTGTTGGTTGTTGTTTTCATATCACTCTTCTTGCTGGATCTCTTCCTTGGACACTGAATTACTGAAATTCAGTTTGGAATTCAATCTTTTCCCAACTCTATCTTACACAGTGAAGTTAAGCTTCTAGTCACCAGCATGAGCAAAAGGTTAATAAGCACATCCTGCCTCCTCCAGTTTATTTCATCCTACACCATCTCCCCTCTCTCAGCTCTGACATTTCTACTGTCATCAACCTGTGCAGCAGTTCAAAATACCCTTTTCCAGATGCACTGTAGAACCTGAAATCTGCAGGGCTTCAGTATGCATTGCAGACTTCCTCCTGAAGGACTGCATCTTACAGAGGGGGCATTTGTCACTTATCTGTAGATWCCTACAGGGAAAGGGTCTGCACTATACTATGCAACTGTGCCTCTTTTGAAGGGCAAGAAGAGGCAKGATGAGATGATATTTCAATGTAAAGTGTCCCCTTTTTGTTCAGGCATGTTTTAAGTTTTTTCCTTCTTTCTTGCCCCCTCCCTTTCCATTAAGTATCCACCCTCTGTCTGCACACAGAAGCCTCTGCAAAGTTAATGGAAAAGGTTCTGACTCCTTCCACCTAAAGAAGAAAGAAATTACCATTTGGAATAGAACAATGTTGGCTTCAAACTCAAGGAGGTCAATCCTAAAGAACAGTTTCATTTCACATTAGTTATGCATACTTGCACAGCCTGCTCCCGTGTTTCTGTCTGAAACCCCATTGCATGCTTCAGAAGTTAAATTATTTTTAAAGCAAACCCTGCAAGTGTTTTTGCTTAGAATTTTATTAATGTGTTATTTCTCCAGTTAAAACTTTGTCAACAATGCAAAGAGAAGATAAAAATAATTTAAAAAGTGAAAAGTAAAATAAGCTTGCAGAGTATGGTTGTTTGTTCAACTTAAAAAAMTWCTAGAAGTACTTTAGATTTAGCTCRGTCTTTGTCTCCTTATATCTTAYRCAAMCACCTTTACACACATTCATAAACATGTATTTCCTTATACAAGAAATATTAAAAAGTTCTTAATTATCCTCTGTTGGGAGTGGGAGAACATAGTTATCTATAAAACTTCAGGAAATTTTTTTGTAAGTATTTCTGGTTAAAGCACTCCTTAATTTGTAGCCTCATTTCTGCTCACAACACAAACCAAAACCATAAGCCAAATCTGATGTTTGAAGATGTTCAAAATAATGAACAGTTTTTACAAGCAAAAACARGACAAAAAGACAGCATAATATTTTATCACTTGTGAGACTTCATCAAAAAGATTGCTAAATAACCTTCAAAACATTAATTAAAACTTTACAGCACCAGGAAGACAATTTCTCTTTCATACATAGGTCCCTTAGGTTAGAATGCAGTTATTAGACTGTGTAGAACAATTTTTGTTTGAGAAACTCCCACAATTTGATGTAAAAGCCAACATGGAAATACTTGTGACTTTCATCTTGTCTTAACACCCCCAAATGAAATGAAAGATGTCCAGTGCTCTTCTGTGTCTTAGAGGTTCATGCAAGTTAAATGTTTCTGTGTCTATTCTTTTTGCTATTCTAATGCCCACTGTCAAGTAGATTAAATAAACAGCAACCCTACTAGTCCAAGTGTTGTAAAACAGTTATTCTTCTGAGGATTTCAAAATATATTCCCACATCAGTCTATTGCTCAGCTACAAAAGGAAAAATATTCTTTGGAYTGGTTTCTTAGTATTAAGTTCCTGGTTTTGTGAGAAGCCTTATGAAGTCCTAGAATGATATTTCTAGGGAAGGATAAAACATAACTGGACAGTGAAAGCTGCAGATTATTTCAATGCAAAGAGCTCAGAAACTCAGGCACAGAGTTTTCACACTATGGCCTCAGAATTTCAAAGGATTCAACCTCTCAGTGCTACAGCACCAAGGGAGTCGAAAAAAGTGAATGAGCCCTGTCTGACTGCTTTACCTCAGCTACCTCAGGGTTTCCAAAATCAATCCAAGGAAGGAGTGCAGCAAACCTGCTTGTAAAGAGAGAAAGACRGGCCTACACTGAACTTCATGCTGCTGCAGCTTGCCCAGGAGTGCACAGATACAACACACTGTCAGCTGCTCCTGTACCATTGAGCAGCTTACACACTTGTCATGGTTTGACCCTGGCCAAATGCCAGGCACCCCCAACAGCTACTCACTCGCTCTCCCCTGCCACAGCTGGGCAGTGGAGAGGGGAAAAAATGAACAAAGGGTTCATGAGTTGAGATAAGAAAGTGGGAGAAAACTCTCCAAGGGCAAAACAGGCTCAACTTAAAGATGCRAAGTGAATTTATTACTAAGAGTCAGAGGAGGATAATGAGAAGTAAAAATAAGCCTTTAAAGACACCACTCTTCTCCCCAGTCCCCTCCATCCTTCCCACTGACAGCGCAGGGAGCAGGCAGTGGGCATTTTGGTCAGTTTGTTGCAGGATTTTCCTCCACTATTCAGGAAGAAAAATCCTACCACTGCTTCACTKTGGGGTCCCTCCCACAGGAGGCAGTTCTYCATAAACTCCTCCAGTGTGGCACAAATCTCACGGGCAGCAGTCATCCCAAAACTGCTGTGGCGTGGGTCACTTGTCTGTGGGKTGCAGTCCTCCAAGGCCAGGCTGCTCCAGCCTGGAAGCAGGGCCCCCTTCTCTCCATCAGGTCTCCTRSTGGAKCACAGCTTCCTCCAGGCATTCACCTACTATGGCGTGGGCACCTCCCCCATGGGCTGTGGGTGGATCTCTGCATCYCCCRTGGACCCCATGGGCTGCAGGGTCACAGCTGCTCCACCATGGTCTGCAGCACAGCCTGCAGAGGAATTCCAGCTCTGGAGCCTGGAGCACCTCCTCCTGCCCCTTCTCCACTGACCTTGGTGTCTCCATGYTGTTCCTCATATTCTCACTTTCTCATCCTTCTCTGGCTAGGAAAAAAACTGTGTGCCCTTTTGCTTTGATTTCTTCCTAAATATGTCATTACAAAGGCATAACCAACCTCTCTAATTGGCCCAGCCTTGGCCMGCATCATGTCCATCACCTTCAGRGRCATCAGAGACTGGCTCTGCTGGACACRGYGGAAGATTCCAGAAGGGGAGCCATCTTTGTGGCCCACCTACTACCAAAAGCTGGGCCAAGCAAAACCAACACAACRCTGGACCTCCCAAAGTTTTGGGGTCCCTGAACATGAAGCACAYAATTCAAAGTCTGTGGGTTCACTTTCTACAGAACACTACCTACAAAATACACTATACAGACTTATTAGGCTGGATTCAAATGTACTTTCTGACTCCATCTGGTTAGCGGACAAGCAGAAATTGCAGGATTGACTTTTAAAGAGGAAGAGGCTGTTTTTTTTGGTGGTTTTTTTTTTTTTTTTTTTTTTTTTTTTTTTTTTTTTTTTTTTTTTTTTTTTAGACACCTAGCAGCACCCCTGGCAACAAAGACACTTTTTCTTCATGACCCCAGTTGCTGGTTACACTTTCCTAGATACTCTTCCTCACACTATTGTCTGTTATCTTTCATCTCACYTATGTCACAAGAATGAAAGAGGCAGAAGGCTACAGTTTATCACAGGAAACAATCCTGCAGACACAGTCATTAGCTGTATAACAAATGAAACCGGGGGAAAATATAATTTGTTAGAAGCATTCCTCTTGGAGTGTGAACTGATGATAGAAATGTCAATTTCAGAAAGCTTTGGAGCATTTTTTAAGCTGCTTCAAGGAAACCTCTCAGAATATCTCATCTCTGAAAGAAAAAGTATGTTAGGGAGCTGGTTTGCTTTTACTTTCAGACTTATTTTCAGGGTTGCTATGAAGTGTACCAGCATCTTCCACATCACTGCATAATAGGAAAAAACCAAATCTCCCTATTTTGAGGCAAAGAAGTGCAGTGGTCTCCCAAAACCTTGCAAGACATACTAAAAGACAAGACATTTGCCTTCAAGCTTGGAAGAACCAACCCCCCTGCCCTCCATCACATCTTCCTACTCCCTTAATAGGCATGTTGCAACCATAGCTAGATATTCTTCTTGCAGAGGAAGAAATTAAACTCCAACTAATATAGAAGTATAGAAAAGGACAAGAACCGATCTTGTTACTGAAGCGCTATGCTTACTTCCCCATCCACACCCACGATGGCTCTTAGCAGGAGTCATACTTCGGTTATTACAGCCTTTCCACAAATTTCAAAGTAAAATTAACATTCTGGCTGACATTCGTCATGGGTGGGAAGAGGAATTGCACATTTATCGCTCCTATCCCTTCACCAGCTGTACAGTCTTAACTTTTCTCATCTTTCAGGCAAAAGGGTTAAAATAAA